CCCTGGAATATTTGGCCTTGGTACAAACACACAAGGTGACACACACGGGGTGCAATGCCATTTAAAGGTTAATGTCCCACATCTGTGGCTTTTTAAATTGAAATTAGTGTCAGTGTATAAATAGTCAATGAGTTTGTTAGCTCTTATGTGGAAGCACTGACTAGGCTAGATACTGAGCCATGGGGATCAGAAAAGAACTGTCAAAAGTCCTGCGTAACAAGGTAATGGAACTTTATAAAGATGGAAAAGGATATACAAAGATATCCAAAGCCATGGTCCACCAAAAAGAAGTTGAGTGCACGTGCTCAGAGTCATATCCAGAGGTTGTCTTTGGCAAATGGACGTATGAGTGCTGCTGCAGCATTGCTGCAGAGGTTGGAGGGGTGGGGGGGTCAGCCTGTCAGTGCTCAGACCATACGCCGCACACTGCATCCAATTGGTCTGCATGGCTGTCGTCCCAGAAGAAAGCCTCTTCTAAAGATGATGACCAAGAAAGACCGCAAACAGTTTGCTGAAGACAAGCAGACTAAGGACATGGATTAGTGGAACCGTGTCCTGTGGTCTGATGACACCAACATCAACTGATTGGGTTCACATGGTGTCAAGCGTGTGTGGCGGCAACCAGGTGAGGAGTACAAAGACAAGCGTGTGTTGCCTACAGTCAAGCATAGTGGTGGGAATGTCATGGTCTGGGGCCGCATGAGTGCTGCCCGCACCGGGGAGCTACAGTTCATTGAGGGAACCATGAATGCCAACATGTACTGTGACATACTGAAGCAGAGCATGATCCCCTCCCTTCAGAGACTGGGCCGCAGGACAGTATTCCAACATAACGACCCCAAACACACCTCCAAGACCACCACTGCCTTGCTAAAGAAGCTGAGGGTAAAGGTGATGGACTGGCCAAGCATGTCTCCAGACTTAAAAACCTATGGAGCATCTGTGGGGCATCCTCAAACGGAAGGTGGAGGAGCGCAAGGTTTCTAACATCCACCAGCTCCGTGATGTCATCATGGAGGAGTGGAAGACGGAAGGTGGAGGAGCGCAAGGTCTCTAACATCCACCAGCTCCGTGATGTCATCATGGAGGAGTGGAAGACGGAAGGTGGAGGAGAGCAAGGTCTCTAACCTCCACCAGCTCAGTGATGACGTCATGGAGGAGTGGAAGAGGACTCCAGTGGCAACCTGTGAAGCTCTGGTGAACTCCATACCCAAGAGGGTTAAGGCAGTGCTGGAAAATAATGGCGGCCACACAAAATATTGACACTTTGGGCCCAATTTGGACCTTGTCACTTAGGGGGGGACTCACTTTTGTTGTCATTGCTCTACGCTGGGCTAATCTGAAGGCCACACCAAGTTTGGAGGTCTTTAGCTATTAGACATTAATGGCGGTGTGTTGAGTTATTTTGAGGGGACAGCAAATTTCCATGTTATACAAGCTGTACACTGACTACATCCCATTGTAGCAAAGTGTCATTTCTTCAGTGTTGTCACATGAAAAGAGAGAATCAAATATTTACACAAATGTGAGGGGGGGACTCACTTCTGGGAGATACTGTATATATATATATATATATATAATTTTGTTTGCTATTTTGTCAGTTAAAGTTGAGTTAAGTTATCCTTTAAGTATTTAAGTATTAAAAAAAAAAGATCATCTAGGGACATTATCTAGGACAGGGACAGTTTATGCTGGCTTTAATTATATGGTAATACTTGACTCTTCTCTCCCCCCCTTTTGAGTAATTACTTTTAATCTGTTTCTCTAGTAGACTCATGAGTCCACCAGAGTGATTTATATTCCTTCGTTGTATCTTTGGTTCAGCCAGAGTTTTCCTTTAAAATGATATGCAGTTCAAATGGGGGCATAAGGGGGGCACAAGCTCCCTCTAATTGGTATAGATAGAGACGCCCAGAAAACAAAGGTAAACACATCTAGAAAAGCGAAGAATTGTTTGGCTCTTGGCTCAGTTTGGCGTTCTCCATAAAGGAAAAGTAACATTAATAATTGAACGCAAATAGTGTTTATTCACCAGCGGAGGTCGAAGCCGAGGCCCAGCGCGGATTCATCGCTCGTATTTTCATTTCATGTTTATTCATTTAATATTTATAGAGGAGGGAGAGGATTATCATTTTTATCCATATTGTATTTGGTGTCTTAGCCGGCTTCTGCTGAAACATACAAATTCGTAGATGTGAGACCTTCCGAAGTTTAGTTTGCCGCACCTCGTGGTGATGGTTCGCTCGCGGTCTCCCGAAGCCTGCTTGAAAGAAGCCCATCATGTGAATGAAGTTTACTAAAGAAGAGGAGGCGCTAGGCAACAATACGTTTGTCGATGGCAACTTTGGTGTTGTTGGACATCAAACAATAAATAACTACACTTTATAAATAAAAATAAAACACTCAGGATTACATATACACTATATTGCCAAAAGTACTGGGACGCCGGCCTTTCCACGCACGTGACCTTTAAAGGCCCCCCAGTCTTAGTCCGTAGCGTTCAATATTGAGTTAGCCCCGCCCTTTCCACGCACATGGACTTTAATAGTCTCCTAGTCTTAGTCCGTAGAGTTCAATATTGAGTTAGCCCCGCCCTTTCCACGCACATGGACTTTAATGGCCCCCCAGTCTTAGTCCGTAGGGTTCAATATTGAGTTGGCCCCGCCCTTTCCAGGCACATGGACTTTAATGGCCCCCCAGTCTTAGTCCGTAGGGTTCAATATTGAGTTGACCCCGCCCTTTCCACACACATGACCTTTAATGGCCCCCCAGTCTTTGTCCGTAGGGTTCAATATTGAGTTGGCTCCGCCCTTTGCAGCTATAACAGCTTCAACTCTTCTGGGAAGGCTGTCCACAAGGTTTAGGAGGGTGTCTATGGGAAGGTTGGACCATTCTTCCAGAAGCACATTTGTCAGGTCAGGCACTGATGTCGGGGGAGGAGGCCTGGCTCGCAGTCTCCGCTCTAATTCATCCCAAAGGTGTTCTATGGGGTTGAGGTCAGGACTCTGTGCAGGACAGTCAAGTTCCTCCACCCCAAACTGGCTCCTCCATGTCTTTATGGACCTTGCTTTGTGGAACAGGAGGGGCCATCCCCAAACTCTTCCCACAAAGTTGGGAGCATGAAATTGTCCAAAAAATCTTGGTATGCTGATGCCTTTAACGTTCCCTTCACTGGAACTAGGGGGGCAAGCCCAACTCCTGAAAAACAACCCCCCACCATAATCACCCTTCCACCAAACTTTACACTTGGCTCAGTGCAGTCAGGCAAGTACCATTCTCCTGGGAATTGACAAACCCAGACACGTCCAACGAATTGCCAAACAGAGAAGTGTGATTGGTCACTCCAGAGAACACATCTTCACTGCTCTAGAGTCCAGTGGTGGCGTGCTTTACACCACGGCATCCAACGTTTTGCATTGCACTTGGTGATGGAAGGCTTGGATGCAGCTGCTCGGCCATGGAAACCCATTCCCATTCCTCTATGCACCGTTGTTGTGCTCATCTGAAGGCCACACCAAGTTTGGAGGTCTTTAGTTATTGACTCTTCAGACAGTTGGAGACTTCTGCGCACTGTGCGCTTCAGCATGCACTGACCCCGCCCTGTCATGTGACGTGGCCTACCACTTGGTGGCTGAGTGGCTGTTGTTCCCAGTTGCTTCCACTTTGTTATTTTCCCACTAACAGTTGAGCGTGGAATATTTAGTAGCCAGGAAATGTCACGGATGGACTTATTGCACAGGTGGCCACCTATCACGGGACCACGCTTGGAGTCACTGAGCTCCTGAGAGTGACCCATTCTTTCACAAATGTTTGTAGAAGCAGTCTGCATGCCTAGGGGCTTGACTTTATACACCTGTGTCCATGGAGGGGATTGGAACACCTGAATCACAGGATTGGGAGGGGATTGGAATACCCGAATCACATGATTTGGAGAGCTGGCCCAATACTTTTGACAATATAGTATACTACAATTATTATAAACATTTTTATATAGTGTGTGCATAATATATATATATACACGGTTGGACAAAACTATGGGAACAGCAGGTAAAAGAACAAAATTGTTACTTAATATGGTGTTGGACCACCTTTGACATCCAAGACAGCTTGAATTCCCCTGGGAAATGACACATATAGTATTGGATGGTTGGTAATGGAATCTGATATTGCTCTTCATGCAAAAATCATTCCAGTTCTCACAGAGATGGCTAGGCCATGAAATGAGCCTGAACCTTGTTCTCTAAAATTGATCATAATGGCTCCGATATTGAGGTCCAGTGACTGCAGTGCCAAGGGAAGGCGGGATACTTTGTCTACAAGCTCATCAAACCACGATTTGACATCACCAGCTGTGTGAATCAGAGCATTATTGTCTTGGTAAATGGCGCTGTCTTCGACAAACAATGTCTGAATCATGGGGTGCACACGGTCGGCCAAAATTTGTACATAGTTGCTGCCAGTTTCTCTATCTTTCAAGGTGATGATGGGGCCTGCAGAATACCAAGATCTGGCTGCCCAAACAATGATTGCACCAGAAATATCGGTAACTAGTAGTTTGACAATTGCAGCTCGCCCGTGATTGTTTGACGTTCACTCCGCACAGTAATTCAAACCTGTATTACCACCTCCCTTCAGTCTTGCACAGGTGTACCGACTCCTCCCCTTCAGTCTTGCACAGGTGTACCAACTCCTCCCCTTCAGTCTTGCACAGGTGTACCGACTCCTCCCCTTCAGCCTTGCACAGGCGTACCGGCTCCTCCCCTTCAGTCTTGCACAGGTGTACCGGCTCCTCCCCTTCAGTCTTGCACAGGTGTACTGGCTCCTCCCCTTCAGTCTTGCACAGGTGTACCGGCTCCTCCCCTTCTATCTTGCACAGGTGTACCGGCTCCTCCCCTTCTATCTTGCAAAGGTATACTGACTTCTCTCCTTCAGTCTAGCACAGGTGTACCGGCTCCTCCCCTTCAGTCTCACATAGGTGTACACCTGATCCTCCCCTTCAGTCTTGCACAGGTGTACCGACTCCTCCCCTTCAGTCTTGCACAGGTGTACCGGCTCCCCCCCTTCAGTCTTGCACAGGTGTACTGGCTCCTCCCCTTCAGTCTTGCACAGGTGTACCTGCTCCTCCCCTTCAGTCTTGCACAGGTATACTGGCTCCTCCCCTTCAATCTTGCACAGGCATACCGGCTCCTCCCCTTCAGTCTTGCACAGGTGTACCGGCTCCTCCCCTTCAGTCTTGCACAGGTGTACCGGCTCCTCCCCTTCAGTCTTGCACAGGTGTACCGGCTCCTCCCCTTCAGTCTTGCACAGGTGTACTGGCTCCTCCTCTTCAGTCTTGCACAGGTGTACCAACTCCTCCTCTTCAGTCTTGCACAGGTGTACCAGCTCCTCCCCTTCAGTCTAGCACAGGTGTACTAGCTCCTCCCCTTCAGTCTTGCACAGATGTACCGGCTCCTCCCCTTCAGTCTTGCACAGGTGTACTGACTTCTCTCTTTCAGTCTTGCACAGTTGTACCGGCTCCTCCCCTTGAGCCTAGTACAGGTGTACTGGCTCCTCCCCTTCAGTCTCACACAGGTGTACCAGCTCCTCCCCTTCAGTCTCGCACTGGTGTATCGGCTCCTCCCCTTCAGTCTTGCACAGGTGTACCGCCTCCTCACCTGGATTGAAACGGCTTCCTCTGATGTTACTGCACACTGTGAGCTTCTCACAATGTGCATTAGAAGCTGCAGCACATCAGACAGAGCTCCGCCTCCTTTCCTGGCCAGAGGACGTCCAGCCTGACTGTCCCTGGCCTGACCCTTTCATTCCTTAAATTTAAGTTCTTTTAATCATGGAGGCTCAGCATCACATGAGGGCATTGTCTAGGGCAGTCTGCTTGTGAATGCCTGTCTAGGAATACCCAGGTCTCCAGACTGACATTCACCCATTAAAGCACTTTTATATTTGCATTACTCCTCCCAAGAGCCGGCCCACTGCTTATATCAGGGCTGAGGACTCTTGAGAGGATTACTGACACTGGGTGCTGTGATGTTTTTTAGGAATCAGGTCCTGATTCCTCTATTTAGATCTTTATATCACTAGATGGGTTACCGGCAGGAGGAAGGAGGTCCTGATTCCTCTATATAGATCTTTATATCACTAGAGGGGTCACCGGCAGGAGAAAGGAGGTCCTGATTCCTCTATATAGACCTGTTATATCACTAGAGGGGTCACCGGCAGGAGGAAGGAGGTCCTGATTCCTCTATATAGATCTTTATATCACTAGAGGGGTCACCGGCAGGAGGAAGGAGGTCCTGATTCCTCTATATAGATCTTTATATCACTAGAGGGGTCACCGGCAGCAGGAAGGAGGTCCTGATTCCTCTATATAGATCTTTATATCACTAGAGGGGTCACCGGCAGGAGGAAGGAGGTCCTGATTCCTCTATATACAGTTGCAAGAATAAGTATGTGAACCCCTTGGGATTACGTGGAGTTTTGCATGAATTGGGCATAAAATGTGCTCTGAACGTCATCTAAGTCACAACAATAGAAGAACACAGTCTGCTGAACATAATACTACACAAACATTAGATGTTGCCATGGTTTAATTGCACATAACATGTAAACATTCACAGTGCAGAGAGGAAAAAGTATGTGAACCTTTGGACTTAATAACTGGTTGACCCTCCTTTGGCAGCAATAACCTCAACCAAACGTTTCCTGTAGTTGCAGATCAGACCTGCACAACGATCTGGAGTCATTTTGGACCACTCCTCTTCACAAAACTGTTTCAGTGTAGCAATATTCTTGGGATGTCTGGTGTGAATTGCTCTCTTAAGGTCATGCCACAGCATTTCAATCGGGTTGAGGTCAGGACTCTGACTGGGCCACTCCAGAAGGCGTATTCTGTGCTGTTGCAGCCATTGTTTTGTTGAATTACTTGTATGCTTTGGGTCATTGTCCTGTTGCATCACCCATCCTCTGCGGAGCTTCAGTTGGCGGACAGATGGTCGTACGTTTTCCTGCAAAATGTCTTGATAAACTCTGGAATTCATTTTCCCATCAATGACAACAAACCGTCCAGGCCCTGAGGCAGCAAAGCAGCCCCAAACCATGATGCTCCCTCCGCCATGTTTCACAGTGGGGATGAGGTTTTGATGTTGGTGTGCTGTGCCTTTTTTTCTCCACACATAGTGTTGTGTGTTTCTTCCCAAACAACTCAATCTTGGTTTCATCTGTCCACAGTATATTCTGCCAGTAGTGCTGTGGAACATCCAGGGGCTCTTTTGCAAACTTCAAACGTGCTGCAATATTCTTTTTGGACAGCAATGGCTTCCTCCGTGGTGTCCTCCCATGTACTCCATTCTTGTTTAATGTTTTCCTTATTGTAGATGTGTCAACAAAAATGTTAGTATGTGCCAGAGATTTCTGTAGGTCTTTAGCTGACACTCTGGGATTCTTCTTTACCTCATGCAGCATTCTGCGCTGTGCTCTTGCAGTCATTTTTACAAGACGACCACGCCTAGGGAGAGTAGCAACAGTGCTAAACTTTCTCCATTTGTAGACAGTCTGTCTTACCGTGGACACATGAACATCAAGGCTTTTGGAGATACTTTTGTAACCCTTTCCAGCTTCATGCAAGTCAACAATTCTTGATCGTAGGTCTTCTGAGAGCTCTTTTCTGCGAGGCATGGTTCACATCAGACAGTGCTTCTTGAAACCAGTAAACCCAAAACAGGTGTGTGTTTTTTTAAGGGCAGGACAGCTGTCAGCAACACATCCAATATCATCACACTGATTGGAGTCAAGGTTGGCTCACTCCTGGCTCCAATTAGCTCTGGGAGAAGTCATTAAGCTAGGGCCTCACATACTTTTTCCTCCCTGCACTGTGAATGTTTACATGTTATGTGCAATTAAACCATGGCAGCATCTAATGTTTGTGTAGTATTATGTTCAACAGACTGTGTTCTTCTATTGTTGTGACTTAGATGACGTTCAGAGCACATTTTATGCCCAATTCATCCAAAACTCCACGTAATCCCAAGGGGTTCACATACTTTTTCTTGCAACTGTAGATCTTTATATCACTAGAGGGATCACCGGCAGGAGGAAGGAGGTCCTGATTCCTCTATATAGATCTTTATATCACTAGAGGGGTCACCAGCAGGAGGAAGGAGGTCCTGATTCCTCTATATAGATCTTCATATCACTAGAGGGGTCACCAACAGGAGGAAGGAGGTCCTGATTCCTCTATATAGATCTTTATATCACTAGAGGGGTCACCGGCAGGAGGAAGGAGGTCCTGATTCCTCTATATAGATCTTTATATCACTAGAGGGGTCACCGGCAGGAGGAAGGAGGTCCTGATTCCTCTATATAGACCTGTTATATCACTAGAGGGGTCACCGGCAGGAGAAAGGAGGTCCTGATTCCTCTATATAGACCTGTTATATCACTAGAGGGGTCACCGGCAGGAGGAAGGAGGTCCTGATTCCTCTATATAGATCTTTATATCACTAGAGGGGTCACCGGCAGGAGGAAGGAGGTCCTGATTCCTCTATATAGATCTTTATATCACTAGAGGGGTCACCGGCAGGAGGAAGGAGGTCCTGATTCCTCTATATAGATCTTTAGCATCTCTGTCTCCAGTTCAAGACAACCTAATTTCAAAAAATATATTAATGAGATAGAACAAGTCCAGAGATGAGCATTAAAATGGCAAATGGTCTGAGGGATAAAACATATCGAGGATGACTGCAGGAACCTAATTTGTACAGTGAAGGCAAGAAGGGAAAGAGAGGACTTGACTGAAACATTTAAATTAACCACTTCGTGTCGGCGCCTCCCTTCCCTTTCAGAGTTTCAGAAGGCGGGCGGGGATTCAGAGTCATGTGTCCACTGTGATTCGCCATCACGGCGGTCACTTGATCGTAAAATGTCCCAATCGAAAGAGGAGATCAGGACCTTTCCATGAGTCACGGACATACAGTTGTGTCCAAAATTATTCAACCCCCACTGAAATTGAGTGTTTTGGCCAGTTTGACATTGCTTTTGATCATTCAGTCATCTTGCTTACATTTACATTAAAGAGGCACTTGTAGGTCAGACAAATATAACATAACAGTTATAATGAAATAACCACAAATGTCTTTTCTGTGCTCACAGCATTATCAGTTTTATTCAACCCCCAAGTGACATTCAATCTTAGTACTTAGTACAGCATCCTTTTACAGTTATAACAGCTTTTAAACGTGAAGCATAGCTTGACACAAGTGTCTTGCAGCGATCTACGGGTATCTTCGCCCATTCTTCATGGGCAAAGGCCTCCAGTTCAGTCACATTCTTAGGCTTGCGCACTGCAACTGCTTTCTTTAAGTCCCACCAGAGGTTCTCAATCGGATTTAAGTCTGGTGACTGCGATGGCCACTCCAAAATGTTCCAGCCTTTCCTCTGCAACCATGCTCTAGTGGACTTGGAGGTATGCTTGGGATCATTGTCCTGTTGAAAGGTCCAACGTCTCCCAAGCCTCAGGTGTGTGACGGACTGCATCACGTTTCCATCCAATATCTCCTGGTACTGAAGAGAATTCATGGTACCTTGCACACGCTGAAGCTTCCCTGTACCTGCAGAAGCAAAACAGCCCCAAAGCATGATTGACCCTCCACCATGCTTCACAGTAGGCAAGGTGTTCTTTTCATCATAGGCCTTGTTCTTCCTCCTCCCTCCAAACATAGCGTTGATCCATGGGCCCAAACAGTTCTAATTTTGTTTCATCAGTCCACAGAACACTATCCCACAACTTTTGTGGTTTGTCCACATGGCTTTTGGCATACTGCAGTCGACTCTTCTTATTCTTTGGAGACAGCAAGGGGGTACGCCTGGGAGTTCTGGCACGGAGGCCTTCATTACGCAGTGTGCGTCTTATTGTCTGGGCTGAAACTTCTGTACCCACATCTGACAAATCTTTTCTCAGTTCCTCAGCAGTCACACGGGGACTTCTCTCCACTCTACGCTTCAGGTAGCGCACAGCAGTCGAAGTCAGCATCTTCTTTCTGCCACGACCAGGTAGCGTTTCAACAGTGCCCTTTGCCTTGAATTTGCGAATGATGCTTCCTAAGGTGTCTCTTGGTATGTTTAACATCTTTGCAATCTTCTTATAGCCATTGCCCTTCCTGTGAAGAGAAATCACCTCTTCTCTTGTCTTCCTGGACCATTCTCTTGCCTTCACCATGTTTGTAACCACACCAGTAAATGTCTAGAAGGAGCTGAGTATCACAGTCATTTTAAAGCTGCCTAATTGGTGCTTATTATGCTTGATTGCTGCTCGGTGACATCCACAGGTGTTTTCAATACCTGATGGAAAGCACCTGTATGAACCTCTGTTCTTCAGAGTGGTAGTCTTTAAGGGGTTGAATAATTGTGGCAATGAAGA